AGAACCGGATGCAGCTGAGCGGGGAAGGAGCCAAGACTCGAGAGTACAAAACCAGCTTCCATGCCCTCACCAGCATCCTGAGGGCAGAAGGCCTGAGGGGCATTTACACGGGGTACTGGGGCCTCGGAATGGGAAGTAGGGTGTGGGTTCGAAGCTCCAGACACTGGCTTGACATACTCCCTTTGCTTCCCAGGCTATCAGCTGGCCTGCTGCGCCAGGCCACCTATACCACCACTCGCCTTGGCATTTATACCGTGCTATTTGAGCGCCTGACTGGGGCTGATGGTACACCTCCGGGCTTTCTGCTGAAGGCTCTGATTGGTATGACTGCAGGTGCAACTGGTGCTTTTGTGGGAACACCAGCTGAGGTGGCTCTTATCCGCATGACTGCCGATGGCCGGTGAGTTCCAGGTCTGAGCCTAACCCTAGCCCCATCCCCTGGAATCTAAAACAGAGAGACCAGTCTGAGCCTAACCCTAGCCCCATCCCCTGGAATCTAAAACAGAGAGACCAGTTTCTTCTTATTCCAGATCTAGAACAGAGCATTTGCTTGTTCTGGTTTCCCTCTCTTTGCTCCTGGCTGAGTGGGCTCCCCTGATTTTAGTCTTTCTCCTGCCAGGCTTCCAGTAGATCAGCGCCGTGGCTACAAAAATGTGTTTAATGCCCTGATTCGAATTGCCCAGGAAGAGGGGGTCCTCACACTGTGGCGGGTGAGTGAAGTGGCTGGAGACTTGGGGGGTGTGGGGTCAGGTCTCAGGCATTTCCAATTCTTCTCTTACTCCCCTGCCTCCAGGGCTGCATCCCTACCATGGCTCGGGCTGTCGTCGTCAATGCTGCCCAACTGGCCTCCTACTCCCAGTCCAAGCAGTTCTTGCTAGACTCAGGTGAGACCCAGACCTGGGCTCTCAGCTCCTAGCCTGGCTTGAGCCTCCTCTGAGCTGACTGCCACCCCCACTTCACCCCTCCCCCCAGGCTATTTCTCTGACAACATCTTGTGCCACTTCTGCGCCAGCATGATCAGCGGCCTGGTCACCACTGCTGCCTCCATGCCTGTGGACATTGTTAAGACTCGGTAAGTGTGTAGTCCTAGGCCTGGAGGGGAAGGGAGTGGGAGGATGCCCTACTCTCTCACATCCCTACCTCCTCTCCTTTAGGATCCAGAACATGCGAATGATTGATGGGAAGCCAGAATACAAGAATGGGCTGGTGAGGAAGCAAGGCTGGGGGCTTGGGTGGGAGTGTTAAGAGGCCCTGGGAGAGCTGTGAATATTGTTGGTTGTGGGGGACACAGCCCTCCAGACCAGGTCCCAGCCCCAGTGCCCTGCTTGCCTGTCTATCTAGGATGTGCTATTGAAGGTTGTCCGCTACGAGGGCTTCTTCAGCCTGTGGAAGGGCTTCACACCCTACTATGCCCGCCTGGGTCCCCACACTGTCCTCACCTTCATCTTCTTGGAGCAGATGAACAAGGTCTACAAGCGTCTCTTCCTCAGCGGCTGAGGTGGCCTGGAGTCAGTGTGCCAGGGCTCCCACTTGCCCACTGCTCCTACAGTCACTGCACCCTGGGGGCCTGGACTCTGCTGCCCTGGGGCCCTCTATTTATTTCCCCTCCACAGTGTGGTTTTCTCCTTTGCGGTAAAGGACTTTGGTCTGTTCTAACCCCTGTTCCACCTTGCCCTGCTTGTCCTGATCCTATGGCCACTATGTTCTTGGCTGTTCCTCTTGAGGAGCTGGGAACTCCCTGAGAATTTCTGGCCTCCTCTTGGGTGTTAGTTTCAGGGCATACAGGACAACAGAAGATCCCCCCTCTCAATGGGGAAAAGAAGGCAGAGCTGAGGGGACAGTAGAAAGAACAGAAGATAACAAGATGGGCAAAGGGTCTGAAGTGGGAAGACGTGGCCCTTCCTCCCCACCATTGAGGGCTTAATAAATTGGATTGATGATACCACCCCCAATGTGGAGAGTTGTGGAGGTTAGGAGGGGAGGAGACTGGACAAAGCTGGTGTCTCTGGAGAACAGGAACTGGAGTTTTTTTAAAAAAAAATTATTAAAGAAAAAGCACCCACTGGTTTTGTGCAAATACTGTGAAAATCCCTCCTGCCACAGCAGGTGGCAGAGCCAGGAAATCCCAAACTCTAGCTCTGTGTGTTGCCTCCTAGTCACTTGCCCAAGAATGTGGCAAATGCACGAATCATTTCACTTAATCCCCAGGAAAAGCCCCTGGGGTCTGGTGATTGCTTTTGCAGCCTAAAGGTAGGTTGGGGTGGGGGGCATAAAGAAATTCTTGAGAGGGGAATTCAGAACTTTGTGGCTGGAGCTAGGTCCCCAAAGTCTGGAGGCTTGAGGAAGAGGAAGGTGTTGGCCAGAAACCAGATCTGGGTGCCAGTCGGGGGAGAGTGCCTTATATCTTTCTCTAGAAGGGGGGATGTTTGGCTCCCAGGCCTAGCCCTCAAGGAGCCTCAAATCTTAGAGCATAGAAGGGCATGGAAGGTCAAACTGAGAGGAGTACTGGGCAGTATGTAATCTGAGGGGTTTGTGCTAGGTCAGGGGACAGGCAGGTGGCTGGTGGGAGCTGGCCCCTTGGGAGATCAGTCTCCACGGAAGAGGTGGGGCTCGGCATCCTGCCACCCTTGTTGCTGCCTCCCTTCTTACCCCAGTGTGTACACTGTCCTGGACCTTGTTCTTAAGGAGTTCCCAGTCTAAAGGGGAAGATTAGACAGGAGTAGTTGGGAAATGGAGTGTAGCAATAGACCACTCAGAGTAACTGGCCCAGCCCAGAGGATACCTACACAGTGGTTAGAATGGTTGGGGACATGTAAGGAGATGCAGTTCTGGCTAGTGTGAAGGCAAAAGCTTGGAGGAGTATTTTAGTGGGGGAACAGGCAATCTATGAGATTGTGAAGTGTGTGCCATGAGTGATTTTTTTGTTCATGTGGGTTTTTTGAAAGAGTCTTAATCTGGTGCCTAGTCTAGAGTGCCCTGGTGTCAGCCTAGCTAGCTCACAGCAACCTCAAATTCCTGGGTCCAAGTGATCCTCCTGCCTCAGCCTCCCGAGTAGCTGGCACTACAGGGGTCTACCATACCACCCAGATTTCTATTTTTAGTAGAGATGGGGTCTTGCTCTTGCTCAGGCTGATCTAGAACTCCTGAGCTCAGGTGTCCTCAAACTATGGCCTGTGGGCCACATGCAGCCCGCCTAGGACATTTATCCGTCCCACCGTGTGTTTTTGCCACCACTGCCTGTCCTGCTTAGCAGCCGACTCTTCCTGGGGCCCGCAGTCTGGCCCTCCAACAGTCTGAGGGACACTGAACTGGCCCCCTGTTTAAAAAGTTTGAGGACCCCTGCCCAAGCTCCTACCTTAGCCTCCCAGAGTGTTAGGATTACAGGTGTGAGCCACCACACCCAGCCTGTGGTGAGAAGTGGAGCTGAACTGATAGATGGGTGTCAGTGCACAGAAATCGTCAACTGCCATATTTGTGAGTTTGTCCTCTCCCTGGGAGGAGTTTGGAGTAGGGAGAGATGCAGTCAGATTTTCAGGTTAGGTAGATCCTTCAGTGCCATCTGGAGGAGAGGAGTCTCCATGGAGGCGGACAAGCTTAGCTTTGTCTTCCTTTCCCTGGGCTCCTACCCCTGCCTGGATTGGGCTGGAGATCCAGCAGGAGAGGAAGCCTCACCAGTATGGTTAGGGAATGGCAGATCCAGTGGAACCAGGGGAGAGAAGTGGGTTCCATTTGCCTGCATCATAACCTGAGATGATTTAATTAAACTCTCCGAGATGGCACAAAGATGGCACACACTGCTGGGTTCACACCCTTCCTTTCCTGCTGTCCTAGGCAGTGAAGAAAGCGACACCTCTGAGGCTCTAGGTGCAAGCAGGCACCCACCTTCACTCTTTTTTTTTTTTTTCTGTAGAGACAGAGCCTCACTTTATTACCCTTGGTAGAGTACCGTAGCATCACAGCTCACAGCAACCTCCAACTCCTGGACTTAGGCGATTCTCTTGCCTCAGCCTCTCGAGTAGCTGGGACTACAGGTGCACGTCACAATGCCCGGCTATTTTTTTTGTTGCAGTTTGGCCAGGGCTGGGTTTGAACCTACCACCCTCGGTATATGGGGCTGGTGCCCTACCGACTGAGCCACAGCCCCCACCTTCACTCTTAATGTCACCAAAACTCCAGGGAGACTTTTTTTTTTTTTTGCAGTTTTTTTTTTTTTTTTGGCTGGGGCTGGGTTTGAACCCGCCACCTCCAGCATGTGGGGCCAGCGCCCTACCCCTTTGAGCCACAGGTGCCACCCCACTCCAGGGAGACTTAAGGTTTTGAACTGGACCTGATGCTTGGGGTGGCCAGATCAGTGGCCAACCTTAGAGGAGAGAAGGCATCCCAGGCTGGGGAGATTGATTGGGTGAGCAGTAGTGACCAGGGTGGGGTCACCTGGGGCCTTGAGAATTCTCATGGCAGGTGCCCCAGCAACTCTTTCACTCTCCAAAGAAAATAAATTTTTCTTTCCAATTGTTTTTTAATTATATAAACAATAATGATGTAAAACTACAAAATGTTGAACAGAGGAAAAGAAAAACTGCACATATTATGGCACCCAGAGACAATCTAGTGCTCACAACCTGATAAATCACTTCCAAAATTGTCTTCTATGCTTAAATGCATGTGGGAGTCGCACTCTATTCTGCTTATTTGCTTTTCCTAAGAAAAATTATCACCCAAAAGTGATGGTAATAACTTTGCGATCTGGCCATGCCCCGTGCAGCAGAGGGAGCTTTTTTCTATGATTCACTGCCCCACCTCCCCATCTCACTATGCTTCCCCATTTTGTTGGGTCCGAGGTTGTGTCTTCAGTGTGAGTGGGCCAGGGGCTTCTGATAAAGGAAAAGGAACGAAGACCTCCCCATTGTCCTGTGCTACTTACCCCCCACCCTCACACCCCCAGCTAGATCCCTATAGCAGACCCCCATCAGAACCTCTTGAGGTCTCTATATCTCCCATCCTCAGAGGCTGTGGCCAGAGTACCTAATGCCCACTGTGCCCAGCAGATCCTGACCACGACCTTGACTCAGAGCTGAGGGCCGCCGTCCTGCTACCAGAGGCCCCACACGGCCATTAGGGCGTATCCACAGGAAGAGGCTGGAGCGAAAAGTGGGCAGTGAACCTTGAAGGAAGAGCAGCCAGGCCCGGGGCACTGTCACTTGCCTTCCCCTCTGCAACTCCAGATGTGCGGTTTGTGTGGCTGTGGCCAAAGCAGCATCTTGCCCATAGTCCAGGGGCTGTGGTTTCACGTGCTGGGCCCAGGTTAGCAGCAGGATGAGGACCACAGAGGCAAATAGAAGCCAGAGGAGACCCAAGACATAAAAGCCCAGGGGGAGAAGGCAGCAAAAATCAGGGTTGAGAAAAGGGCCATTTCTGGTGCTATCGAAATTCCCTTGAGCTACCCTTTGGTTGACAGGTGCAGGAATGATTTTTATGATGGATTCTAAGGCAGTTGAGAGCAAGGTGGGTTTTGTGGTAGTTAATATGATGGAGCGTTGGGTGGATGGAGTTGTGGTGGGCTCTGGGATATTCAGGGCTGTGATAGGCTCTGCAGTGATCGGGGCTGTGTTGGACTCTGGGGTGGTTGAGGCTGTTGTGGGCTTGACGGTGATAGGGACTATGGTGGGCTCTGGGGTGGTCGGGGCTGTGGTGGGCTCTGGGCTGGTCGGGGCTGTGGAGGGTTCTCGGGTAGTTGGGGCTGTGGTGGGCTCTGAGGTGGTTGGGGCTGCAGTGGCTTCAGTAGTGGGTTTGAGAGTCTGGGAGAATGTGCTGGAGTCTGTGGTAGTTGAGAATATGGTGGCATCTGGGATCCATCCGGTTGAGAATGTGCTCTGGTGCTCAGAGGATTTTTGTACTGGATGCAAGGAGGACATCTGGCTATCTATAGAAGCAGTAGACTGTGAGTACAGCAGGCCCCAGTGGGTTATAAGGGCTGTGGTGACCACAGTGCTTGTGGCACGTACCTTATTACTCTCAGTGTCCTCTCCTCTATAGTCATCATAGTCATATATGGCATCCCCATCACCATGGATTGGGCAATCCTTCGCTGGGAATTCATAGACGGGTACTTTGTTTGAATTGGCACATCGCACGCTGGTCACATTGGGGGTCATGGCCTTATTATCTTCACCTTCCTTCCATAAGTAGACACTGTTAGGATTGTTCTGCAGCCAGTGACGAAAATACAGGATCTCACAGCTGCAGAACCAAGGGTTGCTGTGGAGAAAAACAAAAGGTAAGAGGAGGTCCCCAAAGAAGCCCTCTGGTATCGTTTGCAGTGAGTTATGTTGGAGGTAGAGAGTGTCCAGGCTACTCAACCCAGCCAGGAGCCCAGAGGGCAGGTCAGTCATTCTGTTTTCAGCTAGATTGAGCTTCTTCAGCTCCGGTGTGGGTGTCAGGAGCCCTGGGGGCACAGTCTTTAGCTTATTGCCCCGAAGATAGAGCTCTTGCAGTCGGGACAGGCCTTTCAGGGCATCTGGAGACAAGGAGGTCAGCTGGTTGAAGGAGATGTCCAGGAAAGTGAGAGCAGGCAGTGCCTGCCCTAGTGGAGGCAGGCTTTTCAACTCATTGTAAGATATATCCAGCGTCTCCAGCAGTGGCAGCTTCACATCCGTCTGGAGTTTGGTCAGCTCGCATCGACTAAGGTGCAGGTCAGTGAGACGAAGGAAAGGCACCAGGGATGCCATGGAGAAGGTGTGCAAGGGGTTCTCACTCAGGTGGAGGATGGCTGTTTCTTTTTGCAGGTCTGGAGGCAGCGCTGTCAGCTGCTGCTTGTCACAGTTCACTTCTAGCTGGCTAGCCACTTGGGTGACCTCACATGGGTGTGGGTGTGAGGTGCTTGGCAGCAGGAGCAGCAAAAAGAGGAGAGGCATGGGGACCTGTGGAGAAGGGGGGCATTGAGTGGACAGTCCACCAGTCCCCGGTGGCATTCCCCAAACCCCAGCCTCCCTCAGCTTCCCTTCCAGAAACTCATCTGCCACAGCTCAATGCTCCTTGGTCTCCTCTCCCACTCTCACCACCAGGGCCCAGACTGCTCCAGGTCCTCAGCTATCATCTCTCCCCCAACCCCACTCCTCCCCCAGCCCCAGCTCCAGCCCCAGCTTACCGACAGGCAGAAAGGCCTCCAGGGGCACAGAGCTGCTTACAGGGTGTGACCCTTTCTTCTCTCTTCCAACCCCAGTGAGCATTTGGCCAGGGGCAGGAAAGGGTTTGGGGTGGGGAGGAAATGCTAGCCTGATAGGGACTCCTGTGAGTTGGAGAACAGTCTCCCCCTGGGATACAGGCCCTTATCACCTCCCTCCTCAGCTTCCTCTGGGTACTCCATTTTGCTCTCATCTCTCCGCTTTCCTTCCACAGCCTCCACCAGCCACTACCCACCCCTTCCATCTTTTAAGAACCTCTCCCCAGATGCTACCTCTCTTCCTCTTCCAGTTGCATTCTTTTTTTTTTTTTTTTTTT